TAAAATTTTTAAAAATTTTAAATATATATTTTTAAAACTAATTTAAAATTTATTTTAAAAATTAGTTTTAAGTGTTTATTTCTAATAAAATTTTAAATTTATTAAAATATTAATACTTTTAAAATAAATTTTGACAAACACCATAGTTATTATTCCCGACATCCGTTGACATATATCGCAAGAATAGAATCATATATCATCACTAAGCATAAAAAAAAAAGAATCATATATCATCACCTTTACTCCTCCTCTTATCTTATCTTATCCATGATGTTCACATTTTAACCAACAACATTCGCATCGTGATCATTCTTTTACTCGTCATAATTACTACTCTACTCTTAAGCCATCAAGAACCCAACCAGATTAAACCACCACCACCCTACCTTATAGCCTTTGCATTAAATAACTCTTAAAATTTTTTTTTTTAAAGATTGTAAATGTGAGTAAACAAATCTAAATAATTCAACAGTAATCTACTTCCACTGAAAATAAGAGATTCTGAATTTAAATTGCATGACATACGAGTTAAGTAGAATAAGAAATGAGAAACAATTGTTTCTCGTTGTGTAACTAACATAAAAAAAAAAAATTGTAAATGTGACGCAACAATTTCAAATTAGAAACAAAATGTACTATACAATTGCAAGTAATATAGACGTAAACTTTGAATTAAAAAAAACCTATTATTAGGAACGACTTAATCCTATTATTATTAACAATTTAAATAATTTAATAACAACTTTTTTTTTAAAAGAATAAGAGATTTTAAATTTGAATTATATGAAATAAAGATATAATGGATTAAGAGATGAAAAAAAAGTAAACTCCCATTATATAATTTAAAATAAAACAAAAATACTCGAACATGTCATTTTGAGACATGTAGAGAGAACTTTGCAGAGATTTAACATTCTTGAGATCTTATATTCTAAACTTGTTGGGAGAAGAGAATTTAATATCAAGCACCTTCCTTAATCTAAAAGTTATTGTTTTATAGCCTAACACAATTTAAATTATAAAATAATTTTTTATATAATTTAATTGTCTTAAGGTTAATTTTATATTAGCCCAATTGATTAAGAGGCTAAAATTTTGATTTAAAGATTTTATTTTCAAACTTCAATAGAGTGAGGGGAATTTGAAAAAAAAAATTAGTTTATGACAAATTTACAGTTTTCAAATTTCAAAATCTTTCAAGAATATGCATGTACCGTATTAATTAAGATGAACAACCTTCCATTTAAGTTCACACAAAAAGAATAAAAATTTCATGCAGTAAGTACGGACAACATTAAAAAAATAGTGTAATCAATGTCATTTTAGTCTGTCAAATAATAATTTAATTACATTTCAAAATCCCAATATTATAAACCCTAAACCCTCCCAGGAATTCAAATTTGCATACAAATCCACTACTACGCCACGTCCTTACTGCCCCCACCTCGAAAACACCCACGATTTCAAAAAAAGCCACCTTTCTTCTTCGTCCTTCGTCTTCCTCCTCCTCTGCGATGCTGCAACTTCTCGTTGCATTAACTAGAAATGAGCATATAGAGGTTCCAATTATCAATTCAAGAAAACTCAGAATGTTAGTTTTACTTGAGATTGCTTCGATCTTTGTCATCTTTGCTTCTTTGGGTTCATCTCTGAACCCAGATGGGCTTTCTCTCTTAGCTTTGAAATCTGCCATTGAATCCGATCCGACCCGATCACTTGTTTCTTGGTCTGAGTCTGACCGAACTCCATGCCACTGGGCTGGGATCATTTGCACCAACAGCAGAGTCACTTCCCTTACTCTGCCTAACAAAGGCTTAATCGGTTACATCCCGTCGGAACTCGGTCTTCTTGACTCGCTCACTCAACTCAATCTTTCTCACAACAATTTCTCTAAACCCATCCCTTCTCACCTCTTCAATGCCACGAATCTTAACCTCGTCGACCTATCTCATAACTCTTTTTCCGGACCGGTGCCACCCGAGATCAGAACGCTTAAAAGTCTGACCCACTTGGATCTTTCTTCGAATTTGCTAAATGGGTCTTTACCTGAGTCTCTCACTGAGCTTCAGAGCCTGACTGGGGCTCTGAATTTGTCGTATAATCGGTTTTCCGGTGAAATTCCGGCGTCATACGGGCATTTTCCAGTGATGGTGAGCTTGGATCTAAGAAACAACAACTTGACAGGGAAGGTGCCTCAGGTGGGATCGCTTTTGAACCAAGGGCCCACGGCATTTTCAGGAAACCCTGGCCTTTGTGGATTTCCGTTGGAGGTTGAATGCCCAGAAGCTCAAAACCCGGGAATCGCCATAAAGCCGGAAAACCCACAAAAACCAGGAGGCCCCGACTCTAGGTTTCCCGAGGTGGGTGACGACGGAAGGAAGGCGAAAACTGGGTCGGTGGCAATTCCGTTAATTTCCGGCGTATCGCTGGTGATAGGCGCCGTTTCGATCTCGGTGTGGCTGTTTCGGAGAAAACGTGGGTCGGTGGAGGGCAAAATGGAAAAAGAAATCAAGGAGAATCAATTCGACGAAGAAGGGCAAAATGGTAAATTCGTGGTCCTGGACGAAGGGTTCAATTTGGAATTGGAGGATTTGTTGAGGGCGTCGGCGTACGTGGTGGGGAAGAGTAGGAGTGGAATAGTATACAAGGTGGTGGCCGGGAGGGGGCCAGTAGTGGTGGGGAATACGGTGGCGGCGGTGAGGAGGCTGAGCGATGGTGATGCTACTTGGCAGTTCAAGGAGTTCCAGGCGGAGGTGGAAGCCATTGGAAGGGTCAACCACCCAAATATCGTCCGGTTGAGGGCTTATTACTATGCCAATGATGAGAAGTTGTTGGTCACTGATTTCATCCGCAATGGGAGTTTACACTCTGCATTACATGGTAACATTCTCAAATTAAAACTCTAGTATTCAGTTAGTGTTATGAATCTTTTAGAAGTTATGATCATCACTAACATCATTTTCAGCTAAGTGATTGAAAGTTCTGCACTTGAATACGGTTCCATTGGTTTTGTTCTTTAATCTTATATCTGTTGATATTTATCTGTTGAGCAAGTGTCATTGCGTGGAAAAAGGCGGTTAAAGTTGTTTCCTTGATCACTTGATGCCATTGACCTCATGGCAACATGTTAATCTCCTGCCTCTTAAAGTTAAGAGTCTCAGATTCAAGTCAGGCTATTGGAGTCGCATGAAGTTAGGTCCGATTATATAACCCAGGATTATAGGCATTGAGTTGTTTACTGTGTTTTGGTTGTCTTAAAAATATACTAAAAATACTCACCCGTTGCGAGTAGCAGCAAAGGTAATGGAATATGAACATGTACGAAAAGGGGCTTAGTTGATTTTTTTGTCCCCTTTACGTAAAATCAGGTTTATTGCTGAAAAATTGAGCTGTCCTTTTAGCATAGGGAAATGAATAGGATGACAGTTATAAACTGTTAAATAGAGATAAGTAACACGATCAAGCTTCTGATATGTCTTTGTTATGTAATCTCTACGGGATATTAAGCTTTGGTTTCTTTCTGAATCACGTGCAAGTGAGTTTTAAAGTATTCCATACCTTTATATTCTTTTGTTTTACCCCAATGGTTTCCCTAAAGCATTTTTTTGTGTGGTCTTTTTCCCTTCCTAGAAGTTACTTCTCTTATTGTTTGGATTGATCCTCCATCCACAGTTTCTGTCGTTTGTGCTTATTTCCTCCTTTGAAATTCTTCTATACATTTCTAACTGGAAAGATGAAAAAGAGAGAAGAAAAGATATGGTCTAGTTGTTATGATGCAAAACGATCTTACCTGTTAATGTGAAGTGCTTCTGCTTTTGCCTGGTAGCATTCAGTTGTATTGTTAAAATCTCACTCTATGCAAGGGGGTGTAAAAAGAGATATGCTCTCTTCGTCTGTTTTTGTGTGTTTTTTTTTTTTTCTTTTTCTTTTTTTTTCTTTTTTTATTGGCAAGAGTTATACTCCCGTTATGCAATTAGGTGTAAAAAGAGATATGCTGTGAAGCTACATTTTACTGTTGGTAACTTGGTATTAATCTGTATTTCCAAACTATAGTTACATTCTTAGGTGAATAGGGTGTGAACTTTGACTTGATGATAAATATAGAGCACCATTTAGGCCTTTCTGATGTTAACCCTTGTGAATCAGCTATTGCTCACTTTTTAAGTTATTTTGTCTTCAGTGATGCTCCAATTTTTCTCTTTTGTAAACTTGTGATACACCTGTGATATTTTGCTCGGTTTTCTGCCCCAGCATTGATGTTTTCCACTCATCTTTTATTGATATTGTTTAAGGGCAGATGTTAATTTTAGCTTGAGAACTTATCCTCAAATATAGTGGTCCTGTTTCTGTGTTACATACTTGAAATCCCAGATTAATTGAATGGACCACATTATGGCTTAGGACAAGTGCTTAGTGTTCCGTACGTTCAACTTTTGTTGATAGCATCAAAGGAAAAATGGACCACTGGTTAAAAAGTTGTCGTTTAATGTTAAGGTGCATCCCAGTTAGCTGCGTGAGTTGCTGTTTTCATTGAAGAAATTCAATGAAAACATGGTTGATGAATTTTCCTAGTAATAGGAAAGCAAATGGTTTAATTATCATCATTGCAATTATATTCTATCTTTGAAATTTCATTTGGAAACATCAGTTGAATCCTATTTCTGTTTCTGCATGGTATTTGATTATGCAGGAGAGCCATCTGAAAATTTGCCACCACTTTCCTGGGCAGCAAGGTTGAGAATTGTTCAAGGAGCAGCGAGGGGTTTAATGTACATACACGAGCACAGTACTAGAAAATATGTTCATGGTAACTTGAAATCAACAAAAATCTTGCTTGACAATGAACTCCAGCCTTACATCTCAGGGTTTGGACTCACTCGTCTCGTCTCTAGTACCTCAAAATTTGCCAGTTCATTTACCAAAAAGCTGAACTCAAGCCAAACTATTTCCGTTGGTTCAAGGATTACATCACCTTCTAATTATTACCTGGGGCCTGAGGCTCGGATTTCTGGCAGCAAGTTGACACAGAAATGCGATGTGTACTCTTTTGGTATTGTATTACTGGAGGTTTTAACTGGTCGGGAGCCTGACGCTGGACAAGAAAATGACGGTAAGGGGATAGCGAGCCTTGTAAGGAAAGTGTTCCGAGAGGAACGCCCTTTGTCTGAAATCATAGATCCAGCCCTCCTGAGAGAAGTTTATGCAAAGAGGCAAGTTGTTGCAGCATTCCATTTAGCTCTCAACTGTACGGAGCTAGACCCAGAGCTGCGTCCTAGGATGAGAACCGTTTCTGAGAGTCTTGATCGCCTCAAATCTCAGTGAAGAAAGTGGTAGGAAGCTTGTATTTTGTAAAGTTTTCCAGGCATTGCTAAACAGCTGCCCTCTGAGGTTGAAGGTGTTCTAGGTTTTGGAAATCCTTAGTTGTTGTAGGATCTTTGTTTTTATGTTATTTGTAGTATCCTAGTATCTTTGATGAATGACTTAAGAGTATTACTGTAATCAGGGCTCTCTTTGAATTTATTGATCTGTGGCCTTCTCTTTTCCAAACAAATGTTTTGCTGTTATCTATTCTGTCTCTAATCTGAGATTGTTGGTTGTGGTTTGGACTAATCAAATGAATGAAAATGATGTGTGATATTCCTAAGTAAATCTCGCGTCCACTGGAGAGTGGAACCCATCTTTTGAAAAAAGAAAAAAAAAAAATTGTGAATGAAACCCCATCTTTTAAAGAAAAAAAAAATTAAAGAAATTCAACCAAAAAAACAAAAACACGATAGAGATAGGAAGAAATACACAGAACAAAATGATTACATAATAAAGAAGAAAATAGTCAAATTATTGTGAATTTTCCTATTGATGATGGATGCTTCACATTTACATTCACATTTTTTCATGTTGTAATTCCTTACAATTAAAAGATCATTCGTGATCTCACTAAAGATCATTCAATAATTTATTAAGGTGTCATTTATTCTCTTATTTAATTTTATTTAATGGTTAATGTAACCCTTATATTTTTCTTATTTTATATATAGGCTTATAAGTTTGTATGATTTATACATGAAAAAATACATTGTGAAATAAAAATTTCTTAATTTTGTTTGTTACCTTGCTACTTTTCTATTTATTTTATAACACAAATAACACAAAATAATGTGGTATTAATAAATTAGGGTGTAACAATAGTCTACCCCATATTAATTCATTAATATCATTTGATTTATCCCTTTTCATTAGTATTTTTCTACTCAATATATGTTCATTTTTGTTATTCAATTAATGATTTTTATAATATGTTACCAACTACAATTAATTTATTATTAAAAATTAATAGATTTTATTTAAAATAATTTATTTGTTTTTCCTAATTTCTGCCCTTATTTTTGATATTTTAATGGACTCTGCTTTTTGCTTGGTCAAGGTTCCCTAAAATACAATTCTGGTTTTCCCACTGAATATAGCATCTGTTTTAAGAAACCCCAAAATAGAAAAGAACCCTTAAATGATAAGAATCAAATTAAAGAGGCTGCTTGCTGTTAGTTTATGCCTTTGTGGATCAAAGTTGGGCCCATTTCTTCTTGAGTCTTGAAAAGTAAAAAGAAGTTGAAACACCATTAGACATTAAGACCAAGAGCCTCCATTCTTTCTTTCTTCTTCTTCCTTCTTCTTTTTTTTTTTTTTTTTTTTTTTAAATATGAATATTTATGTATTCAATCTGATTAATCTTACAAATACTTACAAAAGTCTTTGTTTATAAATATTTGGTAAAATTTTATCTTTAAAATTAGTAAGGATTGTCCATTAATATTGTTTATAACTAAATAATATTGAAGAGATCTAAACTCATTTTTTTAGAAATAATTCAAATGACTTCTTAATTATTCAAGAAACAAATTAATGTTACAAATATTTATAAATGTCTTTGTTTATAAATATTTGATAAAATTTTATCTTTAAAACTAGTAAGTATTGTCTATTAAACTATTGTTTATAACTAAATAATATTGAAGAGATCTAAACTCATTTTTTTAGAAATAATTCAAATGACTTCTTAATTATTCAAGAAACAAATTAATGAATTAGGACCAAGAGATTTTTGCTTAAATTGGAAGTGCTTTCTAAACCCTTTTTTAGTTAAAAAGCCAAAGGCAGCACCGCAACAATAACATGGGCTCACATAGAAAAAGTTAAGGAAAAAAAAGCAGACCCATTGAATCTAATGCGATCTCACGTGTACTTGTTTCCCTCCACACAAACATCTCCTTACTTTAATGCCCCAACACTGTCTTGTACCTCTCACTATCAATTTTTTATTTGACTTTTTTATGCCTCAAACTTTTCTTTTTCTCGTCCCTTTTTTCACCCAAAACATGAGAACTTGAGGGACCACAAAGGAACCTAATCTTTAAAATGAATTCTGTCCAAGGATTAGATTCCAAGATAATTCAAGTCATACTAAGAAATTAAGTAATGTAAAGGTTAGTGAGCGAAGAGACAATCATTTATTGGATCCCCATTCAGCAACCTTAATCAGACCAATAACAGTGCATTTAGATCTTAGTTGAAACACAATTTAATTCAATTATATCACATGCTTTATAGTTTGAATCACTTCTCTTAATTACCTAATATGGAAATAAACCAAAAACTTAACTAATTAATAAGTAAGTGTCATTTTGTAGATAAGATTAATGATTTAAGTCTTGAGATCCCTACTCAAGAAAAATTTCTTTGAATTCATTAAGCTAATGGAGGGGGTGCACTATTGTGATTGTTTGAGAAGAAATGAGGTGCACCAAAATCGATTTAAAAATACCTTTCAAAGGTTGATGCAATTTTTTAAGAGCTTAAAACTTTGAGTTAAATGTTTTATATTTGAATTTTGAATTGAGTAAAAAAAGATTTTAAAAAATGGAAAATTTATTTATTTTTTATATAATTGATTATCAAATATATCAAAAAAATTAAATAAATAAATCTTTTAAAAAAAAGAGTTACCTAATATAGAAAGAAAACAAGTATTAGATCTTATATTTGTATCATATACTAAATTTCAAATCAAAACAAATTGAAAATGTTTGACTTTTATAAATCTTCCTCTCTAAGATTGAACCAATCGAACCAAAACATTATAAAATTGAAAGTGCTTTACTTTGGTTTGATCATAGATTTCATCATTTAAAATTGAACCAATTAAACCAAAACCTTATAAAATCAAATTTGGTGTACATTGGTTCGATTTAAATTTGTGGTTTTGATTGGTTTTCTCCATATCCCCACCTCACCCCCTTAATCCAAACAATTAAAAATGGGTTTGATCATCACCCCACTCTCCACCTCACATCCCATATCAAGTATAAGAAAACATAAATAGTTAGATTGAGAGTATCAAATTTATGTGTTCTATAGCAAAGCACTATAACTTTCAAATATAAGAAAAGGTAAATTATTAGATTGAGTATCAAATTTATGTGTTCTATAGCAAAGCACAATAGCTTTCAAGTTCAACGCTCTTTTTGCCCAAATCTTTTTGAGTATACCACCATGCTAGTGGCATGGTGCTCCTTTGAAAATTATGAGTCCTAATTGGAATCATGCTTGCAGGAAGCAAACAGAAGAAAAATAATTGACGAACAAAAAAATTTATAGCTGACCAATGAGAGTGTTGTAATATAGTCCATCTTAATAGAAGGTATGTTCACAATAACAAAAAAAAATTATTTCTATATTAATAATTATAAAATGTACAATTTATACAAAGTAAACTACACGTTAAAATTGTTTTTGTTTTTTTTATAGCCAATTGACTTTTTTACAAGCCCTTTTTTGGTAAATTGTTTGTAAATCTCTTTAGTGTATGAGAAAACGAAAAATTATAACATCAAGTCTAATCACAAATACATAACAGGTGCTGATAAAAAAAAAA